GGAATGCCAAGAAAAAAAAAAAATAAGAAAAAAGGAACTGAAGAACAAAAAAGGAAACAGAGAAAGAAAGACTGGGGACACTGGTAAAACAATGCACTCAGCCATTCACAGCACCTCCACCAGTATAGCTTCCTGAAATTCACATTTCAATATTGGGAAGTAGCAGGAGCAATAGTCACATGATGAAACTGCAAAGTTAACAGGAGGGAGGTTCCACCTGTCTTCAAGCTCTGTTTTTTTCCTGTGCCGTTGTAGAGACCTACCTCTCTCAGCCCCTCCCTCCACTCTACATTTTATAACTGAAACCTTTTGAAAACTCAGCCCACTCTTTGTAAGGTGCTGAGATAACTCAGCAGAAGTTGTTCGACAAACAGAGTTTCTGGCAGGGGCAAATCTTTATCAGAATAAAACTACCATAACTGAAAACATATACAACAAAAGATTTCCCTGGACAAGGGGGGGGAGGGGAGTGGCTGGGTGTGGAATGCAGACTTCCTACAGGGGGTTAGGTTGTGGCTGTGTTGGTCTAAGGACATAGTTTAAACACATGGTTTTAAATGCTGGTCTAAGGACATAGTTTAAAAATCCTGACGAAGGGTTTTTAAACCCGAAAGCTTGTTAAGAAAAAATTTTCCAATGATTTAGTTGGTCTAATAAAAGATAATCACATTTACCCAAAGAACCCTGTCTGCCGACTTCCTACAGGCACTCTCTCACTTCTCTCTCCACCAGCTTCTCTCATAAAGATTTGGACCAGGGAAGAGGAAAGCAATGGTATTAACCCCTCTTATGCTGAGAACTAAGTGGTCCCCCGAATGCTGCCGCACTTCTCTATCTTATTTAATTTTTTAAGCATATGTAGTGCCAATAGATGTCTGCACACACCGCTGGAATTCTAGGCACCCATCAAATCCCTAAGGTTACGAATAGATCCTCATTCAAACCAACTCCAGTAATACTGAACCCAGGCAATGGAAGGCTGCTCACACTGCAAAACAGCCTCTCAGTGCTTTAGTGTACAGGAATGCGTTCCATTTTATTGATAAATGCCTTATGCAATGCACGATCTAAGCTGTGTTTTCTTGGCTACACAAAGACAAGCATTTTGGTAGACTTTGACATATATTGCATCTTCCTAGGGTAAATGTTTGGAAAATTCTGATTCTTATTGCCAATTTGGAGTTTCAACATTTTTTAAGACCAGAAGGACCGTAGTCTGACCATCTGTATAATACAAGCTTATCAGGGGGAGCTCTCATGCCCTATAAAATTAAAGGCTGATAACTGTATAAATATTATGTATTATGGTGCCATATGGCAAACATGAATTTAGAAAAACATTAACTGTGAGTGATTTTAGAAGTGAATCACAAGATGACTTTAGGATGTAAGACTTGGGAAAAAATTATGCCATTATTCCCAATCAACTCTATTTGCAGACCAGTTATTTCTGAAATCCAAAAGACTTTTAGCTCAAACTTTGGATGAATCCCCTCTAAGTTAAACAAAAACTCAGAAAAGTGATTCTTCATTGTGATTCTCAACATACTTAGTGTTTTGGAAGAAAAATCAGCTCAATTGCAATATGCCATCTCTATTTATTCACCTTAGTCTAACTAGGCATTCCATAACTTATTTTTCACTTCACAACAAATCAATGTATACATCTTTTCCACACCAGTCAAGATATACCACACTCCCCTGCCTCACATGACATTCATGTCACAATTATGGGTATGGATGAGTTCCTATGCTGCCTACTAGGCATGTAAATAAACTTAGTCACTGAAGTACTATAGTCTATTCCACTTACTTAACTCCCTGAAAAACTGCTACTACAAAAAGGTGGGTGGGTCCTCCCCCTTCTGTTACTTTTATGATTCAATCTGAAGGGAGATGTGTGAGCTCACAAAAGCTTGTGCTATATATCACACACACATGCTTTGATTAGTCTATAAAGTGCAAGTTTACTCTGCCTTCTATTCAACCTGAAGAGCCCGATGACAGCATGTAACCAAAGTAGATCAATTAATGGATTTCAGGGACTTGAATGAGGTGTACAGAATTGCACTTAGGTGCCTAAGTCCACTGAGGCAGACAAGGTTCTTTGGGTAAATCTGGTATCTTTTATTAGACCAACTAAATAGTTGGAAAAAGTGTGCTTACCAAGCTTGCTTAGACCAACACAGCTACAACCTACACCCCTAAGTCCACTTAGACACCCAAGAGGTAGAACGGAATTTGGCTCACAATGTCACATTGCTCAGTAATACATGACAATGTAAGCAGGAGGCATGGTCATTACAGAAACAGGCAAGGAAGTTTCCTTGTGAACCTGTTTGAGATCCTTGGCTTTGTCAATTCTAAATCTCAGATACTCACATATTGCTAAATGGATCTAGGCTGTATTTCTATTGCATATATACATTGTTTAAAGAGTAGTATGCAGCTCTTCTACAAGAAGATGGTGCAACAGTATTGAAATTCTCAGCAATGCGATTATAGGACCTAGCTGTAAAGGAATACATGATTAAATTACATAAAAAGTAAAGGTATTGAAAAGGGGAGATAAACTTACTTCAGAGAAGTTCAAAGAATGAGTTTGAAAAAGATGTTCCCCATTCCAAAGATTTCAGAAAAAGAATAGAGCCAGGTAAAAAGAGTCAGAGTATAATCTGGGGAAATAAATGTAACAGTAATTTAACCATTAAAAGAACAATATTTTCTTCAGGAAAAAAGCCTCTTATACTAATACTAGTTTGTTCCAAAGAAGTGCTGAACACCTGCAGCTTCCAGTGAAATGTGTGGTGGCAGTTGCCAGAATTCAGCATCTCTCAAAAAGAGTCGGATTAACTATATTTCAGTTTGAGTCTAACAGTATGAGTACCCCGAGGCATTAGGAACAACTGGGCCTGTTCTATCTACAGTCCCAAATCTTGGGGTTTTTTGCTGCATTTTAAAACCAGGATTAACATAAAAATAGATTTGTTAGATGCATACATAATACAGCCTACTTCAATTAACATACAAAAGGACACTCTCACACCTTAGGATGGTGTCACTTTATGCTAGCATTTCCACCACTGATACTTCCAGAAGACAATTATGAATCTGATTTTCCAAAGCATAAACAAAAGCACTATTAAAGATTTGTTTCTATTTACAGAGGAAACTCAGCAAATAAAGTAACAAAACAATATTTATTCTGAGGATATAGAGGGGCTCTGAGAAATGGCATGTTACAACATGCAAGTTTGCAATCCATAGACTAAAATTTCCATACAAAAATATGACTACATTGTCAAAGAAATATTAAGCTGGTAAAAATCAGCACAACTCCGCTGACTTATAGTTATGCCCATTTACACTCTCCATACATTTGGCCTATACTGGATATTTTATTTCTTTTGCTCATCTTTGTCCAAAGTAATTATGCGCAAAGAAAACATAAAAATCTGTAAAGCTCTTAAACAACTCTTAAAATAATGGCTTATTTTGTAGTGTCAATCTGCAGTAATGATGGTTTGAGGTGCCTCTTTCCAAATGTAGAAACGTAATTAGACTGTGCACGTCCTGTCAGAAGTACCAAAGTACAGACCAGACAGTCCCTTATTAGGGGCCTGGACAGCCACAGGGGTGTTTTTTTAGAACAGTTATCTTAAGTATTGTTAGGCTGCTCTGTTTACAGCATAATTTCTTTGCTCTGAAGCACCTCATGTACAGAATAACTTTGAATATTCGCAATCAGTATTGAAGAATAAAATGTGTTATTGTTCTCAAAAGGTATAGATCATGCCAGCAACAAACCACTTGCCAGAAGCTTAAACAAGTTGGAAGTGGTGCAACAGTATTTTTTTTTTTAATTTATCTATCACCCAAGTTTGGTTAACAGAGAGACTCCTTTATACCCTGCAAAATGGTCTTAATGGGTGTAAATTGCCCATAAGAATCAGTCCATCAACATCTACACACAGGTGAAGTTTTTCTAGAATTTTAGTGAGCTGTAGCTCACATGACTGAGACCCCACTGTACTAGGAGCCCGGCACAAATCTGTTTCTCCTTAAGGCTCTTGAATTAAAAGGCACGTTGAGAGGTTATACACCTCTCAACGTGCCTTTTAATTCGAGAGCCTTAAGGATTACTGCTACTGCAATATTATTGCTACAGGATCTGTTTTGAGGAGCACTGACAGACTACAGTAATGGTTTCTATGAGTGATTTTACAATGATATAAATCAGAAACAATACTTTTGTAGCCAAAGAAATGACACTAGCGTAAGCAAGGGCAGAACTAAAATCATAATTCTTAAACACGCTGAGGAAGTTATTATGTACAAGTTTCCCTCGTCAACCACAGTTTTGCCAATCACGGTTTTGAGTGTTCATGGTTAACATTCTGTATACCATTCTAGCTACCACAATATACAGTTTTGAGTAACCACGGTTTTCTGTAACTGCGCATCAGCCCGCCAACCCCCTGGCCCTGCTCATGCCTCTCCTTCCCCACCCCCAGCTGGAGGTGGCCCCCAGCCCTGCCAGAGGTGTGTGCGGTGGTGGGGAGCTGCCCTACCCGCGGTGGCAGGGAACAGCAGGCCTGCTCACCACTGTTCCCCGCTTCCCTTCCCTGCCACTCAGCAGAGAAGCCACGTGGGGATCTCCTTGCCCGCAGCTGCTTGCCCCATGCTGCCCCAGCGATGACCCTCCTCTACCTGCATTAGCAATGTGTAGGGCAGGGGTGGGCAAAATGCAGACTGTGGGCTGGATGCACCCCACCAGGCCATTCTATCCAGCCCATGGGGCCCCTAAAAATTTTAGAAAATTAATATTTATCTGCCCTTGGTTGCCTGTCATGCGGCCTTCCATGGCTTGCCAAAACTCAGTAAGCGGCCATCTGCCCAAAATAATTGTCCATCCCGGCGTAGGAGGTGCTCACGGGTACACGTGCATGCTCTGAGATTGGCGGTGCACCCCCTGCGATTGGCCACTGCCACTGGAGCCTGTGGGCAGTTGTTGCTTGCCACCCCCCTCTCGCCGCCAACACCTGTGGCAGTGTCGGCGGGCAGTTGCCGATTGCTGCTGGCGATGTCTGTGGGTGGTTGCCCACTGCTGGTCGGCACTCGCCACCCCCCAGCACCACTGACACTGCCGTGGCCACCTGAGGAAGCTCCCTGCTTGCTGCCACCATACCCCCGCCACCACCACCACTGCCTGCGGATGGTCACCATGCCTCCCCAGCCTCCGGGGGCACGCATCATTTATGTGTGCCTGCCAGTGGTTTAAGGGGTGCAGCCCCATGCTACTGCCCTCAGTGCAGCCCCGCGTGCAGGGGAAGCGGCACCAAGACAACACAAGGCAATCAGCAGGCAGGCAAGGAGATCCTCATGTGGCTTCGCTGCTCCCTGCTGCGCCGGGTCGCGGGGGAGGGAAGCAAGGAACAGCAGCCCCAACTGAGACGGGTTGAGAGACAATCCAAGCCAGGCGGCTCATCCAGGGGTGAGGGCAGGTGGCTCCCGCTGCCTCTGGGCTCAGATTGTCCCAAGACCTTACCCAGCCAGCACCCCATCCACAGGCTGCTGACCAGCCAATCGTGCCCTGCCAGAGGCAGGCACAAAACACCCCCACCCTACCATTCAAACAGGTGGGGGTGGGGAAGCACTGTGGTGTGCTGCACGGGGCCGGCCAGCATGTCCCTCTCTTCCTCCTTCCCCTCCCCGGGTAAGAGGTGAACGTGCCAGGGGAGATGCTGCTGCCGCACACTGGGTTTGCTCTGTCCTCACCTGCTGACATGTACCCCCTAAACCTGTATAAGTACCCCTAGGGGTACGCCTATGCCCAGCTGACCACCCCATGTATTAAAGGCAAGTAAATATGATTTTATATACTATACTGTACAGTGTTCAAGTCCCTAACCCCATTTTTCCCACAAGCCTTTAGTTTTACCAGTCACGGTTTTGCTGACTAAGGGAACTTTCCAGAACCTAACCCCTGCGGTTGGCGAGGTAAACCTGTATACAAACCTAAGATAATACTTCAGCCCTAATTCTCCATACATTATTACAGCCTACAGCAAGATGCCTGCATTGTTTTAAATAAAGAAAATAAAGGACTAAAACCAATAGCTGCAATATATGAGAAACCTTCCCCACACAGCTCTGCAAATCCGCATAGTTGTTGAGCTATCATGGTCCCTAAAGTTGGAATGACTGATTTAATTTTGGTAACATGAAACTGCTGCATCATTGTTCAAGTCTTGTAACCTTATAGCCGTGACAACTAAGTCACCTCCAAGGAATGCTTGAACACGAGGCATGCCCAGCTGTATTGACACCACCCATGCTGCAGTGTCTATTAGTAACAACCTAAGCATGTTATTATCCAGTGTTTCCAGGTTCTGTCATTGCTAACATGCTGCATGATTTTAGAGTCCTGTCAGGCTTTATACCTGTTCGTATAAGAAGCTACATCCTCCTAGTTCTAAATTGTTTCATGCACAAGACTAATCAAGACAATACAGCCCGACTAGTGGTACTGCAAACCTTGCAGCAGACTCCAACTGAGCTCGGCTATGAAGTAGAGGTATCTTAGATAAGGTCCATCTAAGCTCCATGATAATCCAGTTGTTATTTTCTTCTGAAGAAGTTATAAACAAACATCCATGTGTGTCATAGGGGCTGGCTGGCCCCCACCACCACCAAGTAGCTAACAATTTCTGTCACTACTGATCTGCTCTGGGTTTGAAATGGTGATCTAAAGTACAAGGAAAATTTAAGTGGGAACAGACAAAGAATCCACATTCTTCCCCCCAAAAAATCAGTTTCTTTCTTCAACTCAACCTTATTCAATTTCTGAAAAGTCAAATTTAAACACCCCTTTTATCGGTTCAATTTCTCTGGACATGCTGATGACAACGGACACCAGCTGTGGGTCTGGCCAACAGCATCCAATGAGGATCTGGTCCAACATATCCAGGGAAATGCAATACAACCAGGTATTTGCATCTAACAGTGATTCTCAACCAGGGTGATGAGCAGTTGAAGGCCACTATTAAATCCCCGCTCGGTCTTCTCTTCTACAAATTAAACAAGCCCAGTTCCCTCAGCCTCTCCTCAGAAGTCACGTTCCCCGGCCCCCTACTTTCCCAGCCCTCTACCCATTTTTGTTGACCTCCGCTGGAGACATGGGTTTGTACATTAATAGTAAGCAAGGGAAGTGTTAGAAACCCAACACAGCAAATGAATATTTTGAGAGAGAGTTACTTTATACAATGGAAGCTCGCTCTCCCAGGCACATCTCAGTGCGCTATAACCATGTACAATATCTGGTCTCAGTGCAATATAACCACTATAACCATTCTTCCACCATGGGTGTGTCTACATGTGCACTTTAATACCTGTTTTAATGTGCATTAAAGTGTCACAAAAAGTGTCACAAAAAGCCATTGCGCTTTGCCTAATATGCATTAAAATAAGCTAACGCGCCTGTTTCTAGTACCTCATGAGGGAGGTACTGAATTTAATACACATTAGCAAAAGTGCATTAATGAATGTGTAGACGCACCCAATGGTTTCCCTCACTCCTCTGCTGCGCTGAACCCCTCCTCTACCTAGGAAGTTTAAATCCCTTGTAAATAAAAGTCTTTTCCCTCAAGGCAGGCTCCTAGGACACTGCTCCACAGGTGTCACCCACCTGCACTGCACTTCAGCCACAGCCGCGCGAGGCTGCCTTATTCATGGCTACAACGAGCAGCTCCGGAGGGTGCTGAGCAACCCCCACCCCCGAGGGATGCCAGGCCGGGACTCGCACAAGGCGCTGGGCAGGGCCGAGCCGGGCCGGGGAGGCAAAGTCCCAGCGGGCGGGACCGGGTGTGTCCCGGCTCCGCGGGCAGAGGTGGGGGCGGGACTCACCGCGCTTGTTGCGAGTGCCGTGCTGGCGGGCGGCGGCCAGCTCGCGCGCGATGCGGCTCTCCAGGTACTCCTGCTTCTTGGTCAGCATCTCCTCGGTCTCCCGCAGCCGCGCCGGGGGACTGGCGGTTCCTGCACCTGCGCCACAGGTGCGAGCGCAGGCCACGCCCCCTGCGCGCCGGGCCCCACCCCCGCCACACACAAGCACAAGCGCGCGCGGCAGGGAGCGGGCTCAATCAAGCTTTCTAGGAAATGTCGCCAGCCGCTGGGCGCTCGGCTGCCCCTGGCTGGTCGCTGCCCAGGCTTCTTGAATGTCACAGCCCCGAGTTACCTGGTTGGGTCTCCCAGTGAGACACCGCAGGTGACAGCCTGACTAAGCGTGGATCTCAGCGGGCGGCTCAGGAAAGCAAGGCCCAGACTGAGCAGCATGACAAGAGGCGCACAAAGCGCTTGGGTCAGAGGGGATCTCTTTTATTAGACCAACTAAATAGTACTGAAAACAAAAATCCTGTCTTTGCAAGCTTTCAGGCGCACACCCAGGCATTCAGGCCCACACCCCCTTGTTCAGGCTGAGGAGAATTTAAAGATTGTAGAAGTCCTCCCTGGTAGAAAATACACTCCATTTTGCACAGGGCGGGGAGAGGCTGGAAGTTTATTCCCCTGGGTCTGAGAGTCCTTTTGTGAGAGTGTTGCTCTGCTGTGATGTGCAGATTAGGCTGGAGGTGTCCCATGTCAGAAGCATCCGGGGAGGTGAAAGCGCCCTTCTTTTTTGTAGCATGACAAGACTGGTTTAAGTCAGGCTGCTTAATACGCACTACTAGAAAATGCTCCGCTGCTCTAAGACTGGAGCTGGAGTTTAGCAAACGGACTGTAAATTCACCCGGACAAGGGTCTCGGCAGCTTCTGGCCTACCAGGCACATCTCTAGTATTTTACAAGCGCCCCCTACCCACAGGCCTAGTAATAAGGAATTAATTAAAAGAACAGTTTTGAACACAAGCCCTGTCATAAGAGCAGGTCTCTCCTTCCTGTTTACTTCTGGGTGTTGGAAAGTTTCTATATTGTAAAAGGAGTAGACTGAAATGCAAAAAGACACAGAAGCAGAAGTTTTTCTTTCTTAAGAAAAAAGTGCTTTTGATTATATATTTTCATATGTCCACAACATAATTGTTCTGTCTCAGCCTCCCTCTGCAGCAACTTGTTTTCAATATGCAACATAATAGTAACTCTCTATTAAATCGCTTTTGGAGCAGGGATGATTTCTTAGTATACGCATACACAGGTGACAGCATAATGTACCCGACTTCAGTTGCAGATTTTAGCACTTTTCTAAAACAAATGAATGGCTACTACCGTTATTTAAATCAAATATTGCAATATTTTGGTGCAGGTAGTCACAAATAAGCGGATGACCACCTCTATTAAAGTACTTTGGACACCAGTTTTGAAAGAGTTTCTAAATCTGGAACCACCCCAACATTTCAGAAGCTAAAACTGGTTCTGAACTTTCAGAATCCAGAGACTAAAATTGCCCTTCAGACATTGATACACTCAAAAAAACACCCCCAACTCTGCTCCTTTATGGATTTAATGCAAAGATGCTGCAAATGATAGGCAGAGCTTTGTAAGAGACCTGCGATAAAGCCTGCAGTTATACTGCTTTCCTTTTTTATTTACCTATACCATAATAGTAATGACAAATGACATTGATGATTAAGCCATGACTGAGGCCTCTAGCATTTCCTAGGGATTCATTATTAACGAAGCAGCAATGGCATGAGGTGCACCTGAGACACTAAGCAAGCAGATGACAAATCCTCTGAGAAAGCAATAAAGCGACTTCAGCATATGGCAATTACAAAAAACCCAAATGCAAGCATTGTCAAGGTGCACGGGATGAAGGGGCAATGCTGGATCCAGCGGTGTGTTCAGAGCCTTGTGGGGGGCTGGCAGCCTTGGGATTTTAACCCATGCATCGTTTTCCCAAATGGAAACCTACAGCCTGCTTGTAAAGAGGACTCGGAGGACAGCGCGTGCCTGGCGACGTAGGCTGGCAACCTTCAGCCTCCAGGCAGCCCTGGGAAGACTGGGTTTTCACCCTTTGGACCACAGGGAAACAGGAACATTTTCTCCGCAGCCAAGACCCCAGGCCCGAGTGTGACGCCACCAAGGCCTTGTGACATCAGTGGGTCTCGCTCGCGCCCCATGTTGGCAGCGCCCCCTTGCGGGGCTCTCCGCGCCTCCCCACCCCCCGGGTTCACAGTGTGTGGGCGGGGCGAGCGCAGTTGGCACGGGCGCTAGCCCCGCCCTCTTCTGACATCAGCGGAAAGGAGCTCTCCAATAGTCCAGCGCGTCGCACGCAGGCGCAGTGCGGCGATGGCGGAGCTGGCGCTGGGGCAGCACTGCGGGGTGGCGCACTGCCACCAGTTCGGTACGTAGCAGCCAACGCGGTCCGCGCCACTGTGGGGTCGCTTCCGCCTGCCCCGCGCTCGTGGGCGTGGCCTGCGGGAAGGGGCGTGGCCTTTCCATATCGGGAGGCCGCCGCTGGGAGGGGGCGTGGTTTGATGGGAAGTGGGCGCGGCACTGCTTGGGCGCGCGTTGCTTATTGGTGGAGCTGGTGTCAGAGCCCGGGCGTCAGCCCTCGCCCGCTGCAGCACGTGTCTGCCCAATGCGTGTGTCCGGCGCTGCGCCTCCGGGTCGCGGTGGCACCTGTGGGCTGGGGCTGCCGCGAGGTCCCGCGGGGCCGGGCTGTTATCACTTTTGTTGCCTGTGACGTGCCTTAGTGGCAGCAGTATCTGGTCCCGGCCCTCGGGCTGCCCACCTTGCTCCATGGACTGCTTTACCCCCGGGGCTGCAACCTCCAGGTGCGGCGGGTCGAAATAGCCCCGACTGGTCCATGGCGGGCCAGTGCCACCGACCTGACTAGTCCCCCACTACAGAAGCCCAACTGCTGCCAATATTTGGGCTTAATGGACTGGATACAATTGCTTCTTCGGTCACAGGTTGCTGCCCAGTTCTGGCCAACAGGGATGTTTACGTTGTTCTCTTTCCCATTGCCCATATTGTTGTAATGCATAGATGTGTTGCTTTCCAAAATAATTCAGTGCTCTGTCACAGTCTGGGTTTAATCCCCAGTCAGGGGAGGCTTTCCCATTCCCCTCTCCTACAGAGAACAGGGTGAAGTGGCCTGATGTCACCAGCCGTGCTTTCCTGCTCAGAGGATTGGAGTTGATCTTGTGAGGTCCCTTCCACCCTTACCTTCCTATGATTCTGTTAACCAAGGAATGTTTTCTTCACTGCAGCACCTTTTAGATTTGATATAGAAAGTTAGAGTCTGGTTCAGAATATCTGTCATCTCTTTGCTTCCAGGCATAGTTGTGAGATGAAAGAAGAATGGTTTCTTTTTTTGTGTCACTGAAAAACAGCAAGAGAGGACTACTGCATAAACCCTGTCACGTGCAACCTGTGTATGTTTGCAGGAAAATAGGTTCCCCCTTCACAATTGGGCTGTGCATACTGGGAAAGAATTTGTTTTAAGAGAAACCCAGTAAAAGGTGGCACCTGAAGCATCCTCAAATGAAAGGAAGCCTTGTAGGGCAGCACTTATGCTTTATTTACCCCCATGTTTTCAACAGTTCACAAAATTTCCAGTCTCCTCTACTGGACAGGGGAACATTTTTTTATAACTGGAACCAGAAAAGAAAAGTTTAATGTCCAGGACCAGACTTAATGGGATGGATAGTCTTCTCTGCATGTCCCCTGCTCTGGAACTTTGACATTAATGCCTTTCTAGTGCCTGGAGAGAAGTGTAGCAGTGCCACAGAAGTTTGAAAAGCAAAAGAGTAGTTCATTGACACCTCTTACTCCCTCATTCTGCAGTTCCTCTTAGGCCTATGACACTTTCACGTGCTTTTTCTACAGCAGCAGATTTTTGTAGGCTTTGTTGTAGTTGGAGCTCAAACATTTCTACTGTCAAGTTGTCTGATTTTGCCCTGAGCAGTGCTGGGTGACATTGATATAATCTTCTATGTCTATTACTGCTAGCAGCAGTGAAGATAGTGTGACTAGTGGTGCTGCATATCTGGGATATTTTACAAAAAGCTAGTGGAGGCGTAGAAGGTGCCTAGTGAAGTAAGAGCTTGTTAATGGATGGCAAAGGGTAACTTTTCAAGAGCCAGCTTTGGATAAAACGTGCTAGGTGAGTGCAAGGTTTATTGTTATTAAACTTATTACAAAGCAAAGCTGGCTCTTGAAAAGCTACCCTTGCACTCACCTAGCACCGTTCATCCAAAGTGCTGAGAACTTTTACAAATGCAATGTTACATTTGTATGAAACAGAGAAACAAGAATTAAACACATGGGCCCCAGTGTGCAATCTATACTCATGCTGATGAACACTTATTCATGTGAGTAGTCCTCGTGAAGTCAGCAATGCTATTTGCATGAGTAAGTGTTCATCATGAGAAAGATATTAGATTCACCCAAGGAACCTTGCCTGCCTATGTCCTTAGACCAACACGGCTACAACCTACACCCCTGCATCATGAGAAAAGGTTGTATCTTTGGGCCCTTAGGCAAGATCCTCAGAAGCAGTTAGGTGCTTGACTCTTATTGAAGTCGGCGGGTGCATCTATACATGCACTTTACTATGGAGTTGACTAATTAGCTCCATAGTAAAGTGTCACCATCTATATGTGTGCCAGTATTAGGGAACAGTATATTAACTCCACCATAAAGATAGTACTGTTGGGGACAGTACTATCTTACAGCAAAGTACTAGTGCTGCAACAGACATATAGACTGTTACAAGGTCTGACTGGGGATGAGGGTGCTAAACTGCGCGGCTGCCTGCTGCACTTTAGCACTCCCGTACTCTAGCTAGCCCATCTGCCACCCGACACCACCACCCAGAGCCTGGAGCTGACCCCCATGCTCCCTGCCAACCTAGGGCTGCTCTGCACCAGCTCTAATTGCTGTGGTCCTGGGTGCACAAGCAGATACAGCTACCTCTGGCATGAACTGCACCAGAGTTTCTCATGTTGCTTTAATAGCATGTGTAGATGCACCCAGCAGGAGTTATGCATCTAAACATTGTTGAGGATATGAGCTTAAGTTTTATATAAGGAGTCCATATTAGACCAGGAATAGAACCCAGTAAACCTGACCCCTATGTGCAGTTTTGTCACTAATTGAATAGATGAATATGCATAAAAGGATGAGATTTGTTCATGCTTTACTATATAATAAAATAATTGTATAAAAGAGTAACAATAATTTACAAGTGGGTGTTGTATACAACAGTACATTCTCAGATCCCCTACACAAATCAGTGTCAAGTTGATTATTAATGTTTTTCAGTATGTAGGATTAGCAAATCAGACTTGATTCCAGTTCTTAAATATCAGCACAGTTGTTATACAAAGGGATGATAGTAAATTGCTTTTAGTACTTTGAATGGGGAGAAGTTTTTGTTTGGTTTGTGTGCCGTTAAATAGCAGCTAAATATATAGGTCTAAGCTAAAACTATTACCTAAATATCTACCTTGTTATTTAAAATAAAATCCCTTTGTTTTCAGATTTTCTCCCCTTTGTATGTGATGGCTGCTCAGGAGTCTTTTGGTAAGATGGTATTTAAACTTCAAAGTACAGTGTCTATAAGAACAGCCAAAAACAAAGTTACAGTACCAATATTTTAAGCTGCATAAACTTCTGAGTTAATAGAAGAGAAGATGAAAAGTATTTATTGCTTAAAGTAATATTAGGAATTGTCATTAATGTTCTTTTGCAGTTTTTTGAGTATTTTTTGAGCCGCTGCAGAGAGGGATGCCATGGTCTATACACTGTATGGCTGTTTGTCTTAAGAGAATAAACCATTCTGTTTTGGTGTGCTAAATAGCTGTTTATATTTGTTACTCACATATATCCTTATATAAACTCTATATCACTTCAGCTTCTCTCATGATGTTGTTTTTATGGTTTCATAAGTTAGGGCTCCCATTGCTCTATTGCTCTAGCTTTCTACAACTACAGTTTAGGAAGATACTTGGTTTAAAGCCTATGAGTAACTCCATTCACTTGAAGTTCTGTGTTGAATTGGGGCATTATTACTGAGGCAGTACTATAGCCCTCTGTAGGCAAGCAGTACATAAGCCCCCAGCACTGCCTAAGGTGAGGGGCACCAGAATAGAGCTAGGAGGCTACTCACCCTCCCCACTCTCCCTCCCCTGCACTTGTCAGCTCTGTGTGGGGAGGGCAGAGAAACACTGGTGGCACACAGTGCAGGAACAGCAACCAGAGGTTTGCTGCTGCAGAGATATCGCTTCCTTTTTTTTGCTGCTGAAAAGAGGTATTTAAATGGCTACGCAACACACATGCTGGCAGCAGAAAAAGATGACATACCCATGCATCAGCCATTGCTTCTGCACCGTGCACTGCTACTGCCCAGGTGCAGTACTGGCCAGTTATACCTCTGTATTGAGGTATAACTCATCCTCTCCAAGGATGAGGAGGTAGAAGGATTGTGGGTTAGGCTACATGGGGGCAAGGAAAAAGGGATTTGGTGGTAGGGGTCTGCTACAGACCCCCACATCAAGGGGAAGAAAGGGATTCGGGGCTCCCGAGGCAACTCTCGCAGACCATAAAAGCTAAAGAGGCGGTAGTCATGGGGGACCTAAACTACCCAGACATCTGCTGGGAGTCACAGACAGCAAAGTCCCACCGCTCACGCAGGTTTCTAACCTGTGTACAGGACCTCCACCTGACACAGGAGGTACACGGTCCCGCTAGGGGGAATGCCATACTGGATCTGGTATTGGCAACGGGGGATGACATGGTTGGGGACCTCCAGATCGGTAGCCATCTGGGGGTCAGTGATCACCTAATAATAGAATTCACCATAAGACGTCGAGTGGGTAAGGTAACTAGTAGGGTGAAAGTGCTAAACTTTAGGAAAGCTGATTTCAATTAACTTAGGCGATTAGTCAAGGACGCACTGCAGAGTAGGAGTTTTGAAGTGATGGGAGCCCAAGAAGGGTGGCTGTGCCTTAAGGAAATGATCCTTCGGGCACAAAGCAAGACGATCCCCGAGCGAGGCAAAAGGGGGAAAGGGGCCAGGAGGCTTCCCTGGCTGACCAGAGAAATCCAGGGCAGCCTAAGGGACAAAAGGGGAGCACATAAAAAGTGGAAACAGGGAGAGATCACCAAAGACGAATATACCTCCTCTGCTCGTGCTTGTAAGGAGGCAGTTAGACGGGCCAAAGCTGCCATGGAGCTGAGGAAGGCAACCCAAGTAAAAGACAACAAGAAATTGTTTTTTAGATATATTGGGAGTAAAAGGAAGGCCCAGGGAGGAATAGGACCCCTGCTAAATGGGCAGAAACAATTGGTGACGGACAGAGGGGACAAGGCTGAACTCCTCAACGAGTTCTTTGCCTCAGTGTTCCTAAGTGAGGGGCACGACAAGTCTCTCACTGGGCTTGTAGAGAGGCAGCAGCAAGGTGCCAGACTACCATGCGTAGACCCTGAGATGGTGCAGAGTCATTTGGAAGAACTGGATGCCTTTAAGTCAGCAG